ACATAGGTTAGCCTAAACTTATTTCCCAGGCACTCTACGGAAGTTACTGAAGTGCTAGAGGGCATGGCATGGATAGTAACTTGGACAAGGAAGGTTGAATGAGCAACAGGTGGGTTGGTAACAGCCAACGGCTATGCCAGATTGATTAACAAGCGTGAAATCAGTGCAGTTTTTCACTTCAGTTAGTATAAGCATTAGTGATTTGGGCATTGTGTTGTACATGCAGTTTACAGGTTCAGCACTAGTGCAAAAGCATTTTCATTGCTTCCTCATTATCACTGATACTGAAAATAATTAAATTCACTGGTTGCCACTTTGTTTTTTCCCAAAGGGCAGTGCAGGAAAGGCTAGAGCTGATGTGATACTTGATGTCTGCTTATGCTACACTTAAAATGACTGCCAGCTATCAGCAGCTGGCACATGCTTCAGATCCAGTGCATGGCTCACACATCCCAAAATCACAGGAATTACTGTATATCCTATCTTTTCTTACAAGGGCCTTTGCACCGCAGTAGTTCAATAGATCAGAGTCTGTCTCCTAGATAAGCTGGTTGAGTCGTGCAGGCGGGGTCTGGCCTTTCCTGCCCAGTTGGCAAATGTTGCTTTGGACACAGCTTAATCATAATGCAAAGTTCTTGAAGTCTACTGTACTGATTTTTTTTAGTGTTGCAGCCAACATTCTCCCACTTGTTACCTCCTAGAAAGCAATCAAGCTGATCAGTAAAGTATTGTGTTAGTTACTGCATTTTAAGGACATTGGGGAGATAATCTGCTATTGACTTCGAGTCTTGTTTGCCAACTGTTGCATGAATCATCCGAGAATGCCACTCTAGCAGGGGTGTACCTGCTTATCTTTGTAAATACTGTGTTGTCTCTGATTCAAGTTAAAATGTGTTCAGGTATTTCAGTCTTATGTATCAAGACATTTCATTTCTGGAATGCACAAGAGAGCTGAGTACCGAATGTCATTTTTTAACACTGCAGGAAATAGGTAAAGCTAAAAGCACAGATACTGCCCAGCACATGGAATAAATCAGTACTCAAACTATCCAGCACTAAATCCACGGTAAGAGAGCAACTCCGATTTCACAGAATCACAGAAGCACAGCATTGTAGGGGTTGGAAGGGACCTCCAGAGATCATTGATTCCAACCCCCCTGCCAAAGCAGGTTCCCTACACCAGGTTGCACAGGTAGGCATCCAGGCAGGTCTTGAACATCTCCAGAGAAGGAGACTCCACCACCTCCCTGGGCAGCCTGTTCCAGTGCTCCGTCACCTCACTGTAAAGAAGTTCTTGCACACATTGCTGCAGAACTTCCTATGCTGCAGTTTCCAGCCATTTCCCCTTGTCCTGTCTCCACTCACCACTGAAAACAGTCTGGCCTCGCCATTCTGCCCCCCACACCTTAGATATTTATAGACCTGGATCAGGTCCCCTCTCAGTCTTCTTTTCTCAAGGCTGAACAGACCCAGATCACTCAGCCTTTCTTCATAGGAGAGATGCTCCAGGCCCTTCACCATCTTCGTGGCCCTCTGCTGGACTCTTTCCAAGAGATCCCTGTCTTTTTTGTACTGGGGAGCCCAGAACTGGACGCAGTACTCCAGATGAGGCCTTACCAGGGCAGAGTAGAGGGGGAGGATCACCTCCCTCGACCTGCTGGCCACGCTCTTTTTAATGCACCCCAGGATGCCATTGGCCCTCTTGGCCACAAGGGCACACTGCTGGCTCATGGCCAACCTGTCGTCCACCAGGACACCCAGGTCCCTTTCCGCAGAGCTCCCCTCCAGCAGCTCATCCCCCAACCTGTATTGATACATGCAATTATTCCTCCCCAGATGCAAGACTCTACACTCGCTTCTGTTAAACCTCATCCGGTTTTTTTCTGCCCAGCTCTCCAGCCTGTCCAGGTCTCGCTGAATGGCAGCACGGCCTTCAGGCGTGTCAGCCAATCCTCCCAACTTCGTATCATCAGCAATTTGCTGCCCCTGAGGTACTCTTAGCCCAGAATCATCAGTTTTGGCAAGCTATTTAATTCATGCTAATTTTTAGGGGGAGGGAAAGAAAAACACCCTGCATTGCAAAAGTTTGGGTTTCAAGTTTAGTGTAGAAGAACTGACACCTTTCATCCTTTAAATTTTGAAGAAAAAATGTACTTTAAATTTGTGATCTTACAAAGTGTAAGATGAACTGTCAGCAGTTCGTGATAAGCAGAAGTTGAGTGGTAGAGTATGGAATTCCAGAGATGAAGAGATGAAGCTAAAGATTTCATCACAGTGAGTGCAAAGCAAAAGGGGGCAGACAGCTCTTTGCTGAACTCAGGAGCATGAGCAAGGGAAGAGAGCTATAAACTGAAAAAGGAATACTTATCCCACATGCATTTATGGAATTGTAGCCCAATATCAGCATTTGAAAAGTTATGCTAGTGCAGGCTTGAGTAAGATTACTCTAAATTTATTAATTTCAAAAAAGTTAGATATTATAATATTGGATACTAGATATAATAAGATAATAAGATAACTAGATATTTGCCATGTTCTTGGAAAAAAAAAAGAAGAAGCAAATGATTATTCTTTCAATAGTATGCAGTCTGATTTAGCATTTACACTGATGCAGAACAGGTATACTTGTGAAGATGTGTGCCTTGCAAAAATAAGCTGAAGTTCACACCGAGGAAGTATTTTTGAAAATCTTCACAATAATCTTTTGTGTTTTTTTTACTTTACCTATGAGAAGCTGCATCTGAAATTCATTCAGTGAGTTTCAAAGTAATTTGTAATGGCTTATTTTTAATCATAACTGGGAACACCTCAGTGGAAAGTTACGGAGAGAAGTGAGAGAGTGACTTCTTTCAGCTCTTGGAAACAAATTAAATGCTGTGTGGTCTATATCTGCCGCATCTTATTTCTCTGGTCAGACCCAAGAATGAGAGAGAGAGAGAGATTTAATTTCTGTGCGTTGTATCCTACAAGTACGCTATGTCATAGTTTGAAACTATAGCTGATTAAATGGTTGAGAGTGCACTGTACACATTCATTTAACATCCTCTAAAGCCACTTAGTGAGTAGTAACACCACCTCTTTGGGACTGTACTTTAATTTAGTCTAGGATAGTGTGATTTTGTATATATTTTTAAATATATACATACATATTCTGATGCTTTAATATGTAAAAAAAAAAAATGACAAATGTAAAAAAGCATGTTAACTAAAATAAATTACTTCAGTCTCTCCACAGTGATACAGTGTTTTTATAATTAAACTACAAATACACAATCATGAACCATTCTGATGGTACATTATGTTACTCTGAATTGTAGATATGACTAAGAAAATATATATTTTTTTTTTTAATTAGTCTGTGAGGTTTATAAATTACTGAATGCTATACACTGGAAACAATTCTTACAAAGTATTTTCAGAGGACGTCGTAATATGCATCCCTACTGTTCAGTATGCATCAGTACTGTTCAGTGAAAAATGTAAAAAACCCGCACATCAACAATAGATTTGTTGAAAAATCTCAATTACTGCATGTAAGATTTTTCAAAAGCATTCCAACCCATATAGTCTATTGCTTTGAATTTTGTCTAATTTCTTTAATACTACAACACTGTAATCTACATCTACTGACCTGCTGCTGCTCTCTCTCTTTACATGTGAAGATGTGTACTAGAGCTCTTTGAAAAATTTGCTTTATTCATGATCTCTTATATGTTGTGAGAGACTGATAAAGTAATCTTTCATCAGTAAAGGAGCTTTCATTCTGATTCTGACTTGTTTTTCATGGACTTCCTATTTCATAAAGACTTTACCAATATCTAGTGTTGTAAAGATAAATAGGCTTATATTCAGTTCAATTGTTCAAATCATTGTTATTATTGTCCCACTAAAGTTAAAGAAATTTTTACAGTTGATTAAAACAGAGTCCAGACTTAAGTGAGCTTTTTGCTTGGTCACATGTCTATGCACTGAAAAATCATTAATTTAGTTTTTGGTGTTTTTTTCTAATTCTGCTGCCTTTGGCCCATAAGTGTCAGTGTTACTATGAGTTTATATTCAATAGTCTTATTAAGTAGTCATGTGGGCTTCTCATTTAAAATATTACTGTTGTGGTGAACAAGTACTAATCCTGCAGGTAAGTTTTGATACTTGAAACTACATTTTGCGATACACAGAAGTAACAAGATTGTCAGTAAAGACCAGGAGACTTACAATCAGTCAAATTGTAAGCATCTGTAGTATTTTTCTTCTCTTTTCCCCCAACCCTTTCTTGTTAGACAGTGCAAATAATTTATCTCTTTGTTTTCAGTCCAAGCTAAAACTTGTAGGTTTCTATTAATAAGGCCACAGTTGATCAGCTTAAGGCTTTCCTGGCACTGGATACAGCTACCAAGAAATTTTTGACTAGATTATGGCAATATGATCAGTCAGACCGGAAAGGGAATTTGCTGAAAAGGGAAAATGAGATTTCTAATCAACAGTAGAAAATATTGGGGTTGAAAAAAATATTAGCTTAGCACTGAAATAATTAAAAATTATGATCTGAGCCATCTGAGGTGGAAGAGTAGTAATTCAGGCATTCCCATGTTGATCTGTGCACCTTCTTAGTTTTCCATGCAAGCTCTTCTCTCCTTTTGCATAACTGTGAAAGGAAATCCAAAGTGACTAATAGGAAAAGTCTCTCAAGAAACACTCCCTGTTCCTGGGAAAATTATTCAGTATATTTGGGAAGATACATTAAATAGAAAAAGACAAGACAAGAGAGCTCAATTCTTGAAATAAAATACAGCAGAGTAAACTCCAGCTGGTATTTGTGAAAATGTGTTTTCATAGAAGTGGTTATCCTGTTATACCGGAGTTTAATAAGAAAAGGAAAAAAAAAAATAGCAAAGCTTAAGTCTTCTTTGCTACATGGTGCTACAATTTTGTCATGCTTATCATAATTAGAAATCATAACTTTTCTGTCACTGTATATGAGCCATGTTTTATTTGTTTCATAGGATGTCACATGTACTTCAGTTTGAAGATAAGAGCAGAAAGGTGAAAGATGCAAGCATGCAGGATGAAGACACTTTCGAGATCTATGATCCACGGAATCCTGTAACTAAGAGGAGAAGAGAAGAAAGCAAGAAGATAATGAGAGAAAAAAAGGAAAGGAGATAAAATGAATGTAATGCTAGCCAGAGCTGCTTTGAAAAGTGACTGCAATAAAGCACTGGCTCTTTTGTAAGCTGTAGATCTTAAAAATATTACTGGGCAAGTGTAAAAAGGAATCTCTCAGGATGCTATTGTATGGTTTTGAATCTGAACTACCATTTGTTTCTCAAGTTGTGCATTAAAATGCTCTCAGTGCATTCATTATCCAAATTCTGTAAAGCTTTGTGTGTATTAATGAAACAACTGACTACTTTGGTCTGTGCTTTAATTACAGTAGTCACTACCATAATTAAAAAGTTTTCAACATAAAGAATCAGATTTTTTTTCAGTAAGGATAGAATTAGAAAACAGAAACACCATTCCAAAAGTATAATTATTATTATTGGTTTATGAGAAGGTGTATAAACATTACAGCAGTAGCCACTGACTTCCTGAGCTACTCTGTCATTGAATTAAGATTATTTAGAATGGCCCCATCTTTCTTGAAAGTTTAATTTGAGGAATTGGTTATTTTTTCCTCCTTTTGAAATATATATTCCAATACATAAATACCAATACATATTCCAGCTTGGGATAAGGAATCTGGGTAGTGTTATTTCACTATCAGTGCCACAATAATAAAAAGAGAATTTGAATGGGTTACAGTGATTGCTTAAACTGCTGCAATACTAAAAACCTCCCATTGCTAGAATTTTCACTTTGAAGTAGCTGGTAATTCAGGTTCATTTGTTAATTAGTCCAGTACTGAAATGAAAAATGTGATCAGTCTTATTAGAAATTTAACTCTTTTTAGAAGAATTATTTTACCATCTTAAAATAAACAGTCTGTAGACAAGTTTCCAGAAAGTCATAGTCTTTCCACAGATTTCCCCCTCCTTTCTCCAGGTGCTAGCATTTTTGCATAAACTTAAGAATTCTCACTGCTGCATCTTTACAGCACCTTCTGATGCTGCAGAAGCTTGGAGAACCCACATGGGTAATAGTTAAGAAGAGGGACACAAGTGAGGAAGGTCATTAAGAAGTGTGTCCCAGAGAAGTGTTTTGCAGATGTTGTTTTTAGAACACATTCAGTAAAGTATGGCGTCCTTATCAAGCTGCCACTGCCAAATTTCTTGATAGGGTCTGAGGTGTGAGGTACATAAACCTGCACTGGTGGGTTAGTATGGCCCAAATGCCAGAGGTCAGATTAATCCACACTATTGCTTTAATGTGCAGTGTAATCTAGGAGATAAAAAGAAAACTTGGAGGTGTGACATGAGATCCTGTATAAAGCTGTCATTATCCTCCTCTTAGGCTAAGTGAACTATATTGCACCATGGTGTAAAGAAGTTAAGAGGGGTTACATACTTAAATATAGCCATTCACAGCCCAGTAAGTCAAAATTATTAGGCCATTTTCTATCAGGCTTTGAGCATCTTACATGAACATCTTACACTGCATGCTGTTAACACTATTCATTGCTTTGCTTGTAGAAAAAAATGCAAGTTTTAAAATAGTTGTTATAGGAAATGAGTGTATAAAATCCTGATTCTGATGGGGTGGGTGGAAGACACGGAGGATGTGGGTGAAAGTGTGCGTGCTGGAAGAAGAGTTAGGGCAGGGAAAGTGAGGACTACAACTAGGAAGAAACTTCAGCATCAATTCCAGGAGACAGCTTCTGGCCTTGTAATAGAAAAATGCTCTAATTACATAATTTTCCTGTAAGCAGAAATAGGATACATGAGGGAATGAATGAGCAAGTTGTCTAACAGCCCTTTTTGCTGTTTTTTTTTTTGTTGTTGTTGTTTTTTTGTGTGTGTGTGTTTTTTTTGCCAAGCCCTGCAGTAGGTCTGTTTGTGCTGTACTTGATGATTCACATTCATAAGCACTAGAAAAGCATGAAGAGAAAAGCTTCACTTACGGTTTGGAGCTTCACTCAAGCAGGCGGTGGTCTGAAAGGATGATCTGTGGTAACATCACAAGAACAAGGAAGTAACTTTATGCTGATATCGTTTTGGCAGGTGAAGACTGCATTGAAAATTAGTATACATTTTTTTCCATAGACAATTTATCCTACGTAATGAATACTACAGCTGAAACCACGTGTTGCCTTTTAAAGCTAATTGTAAACATCACTCAGTTACGCTTTCTTCTGAGAGGGCACAAAGGCCTTCCCCCAAAAAAGGAAATTTATACCCAAGCAGCAGTCTTTCCTATGTCTAGTGAATATTCCTAAAGAAGTAATGATAGACTTTTACTGCATTAAACGCAGGTTCACAGTAATAAGCTGGCATGCAGTTTGCACTGTGTCTGGCTATCCGTCATGGGTGTCCAACCTTGAGGCTCACCCGGGCCTCACTAAGTGAAGAGGAATTGTCTTGTGCCACATATAAAATATATAATACAGCTAATGCATGTAAGTAACAAGACTTTTTTAATATAGACTTTTTAGTAAAATATAGAAGAGCAACAAAAACAGAACTAGCGGGTTAGACACATGGATTTAGATACAAAAGAGGAAAACCATTTTGAATGACAGTGCCTTTGTGTTTGGTAAATGGGATTAACTTTCCTGGAAGTTGGCATTTTGCTGTGTACTAAACTCATATGTAAGGGTGGAGATTAAAATCCTTACATTTTTTCTGTTTATGAATGGCAAAGTACATTAAAAAAAAAGAAAAAAGTAAGCTGAACCTACATCTATTCAACAAAGGAGGCAGGATTTGTAATTATTCCTTCATTTATATTTTTTCCCTTATGAATAGGATTTGTAGCTTTTGAAACTAGTATGATACCTACAAGCAAAGCTCTTCTAGCTCATGATGATGCTGTACTGCATGTTATAGCCAACACAGGTACTATAGAAGATTTGGAACAAAACATAAAAAGCAAGTAGGTAATCTACTTTCAGCAGTCTCTTGATAACCTTGCCAATGGAAGGCAAATTTGTTAGAGGAGTTTCTTGCATCATTTTTAGCAGACTGATCTGTAATGCACTCCATGACACTAGATATCAATAAAGATTTATTATAGAAAATGTTACCATTTGGTAACATTTCATTGGACCTCTGAGATCTTCAAAGGATTTTCTGTCATCCTTATTGAATGTCTTTGCAGTCACAGCTGTTACACATACAGAGGCAGTGTCATCAGTATCTATCCTTCTCCACTTGTAAACGTGCTAGACACCATCCTTGTATACCCCAAGGTGTACAGATTAAAAGAGTAAATTAAATGCAAACAAAGAACTACCAACTACTTGCTTGCTTTTTATCACAATCCACAATGCAATAGGGTAAATAATGCAGCATACATGTTAAGTAAGCATTTCAGGTACCCTAAATTCACTTAAAGTAGTTAGTAGTTAGATTAGCTAGTGCTAAAAGTGACAAAAGTCCTACAGTGGAATCTAAATTCACAAGGAGAGGACAAGACAGGAGAGATGCTGTCAGGGTCTGCAGTGTCATGTTACACATTTCTTCCTGAGCAATGCCGGCTTGCAACGCCAGCAGGTTTGAGTGGAGGTTGTTCCCTTACTGTTTGCTTTCTGCAGTAAGTGGGTGACTAAACTGTGGAGTTAAAATTACTACACACTGGCGTTGTCTGCTCTTTTCTAGAGGAACTCAGGCTTGAAGGAGACAGAGTTATGTTCTGGCAACATAAAAACCTGCCTCAGACGGAGCGGGTGGCTCCAGACTCTGCCTCATCCTGGCAGATCAGCATCTGTCGTTATTTAAATGACGACAGACAACTGGGGCCGTGAGATATGTATTCTCAGTAAAAGATGCAGTAAAAGTACTTGCTTACATCTTTCACTGTAACAGAACATGAGCTGATGAGATTGTGGCTACACTTAAAATTTAATGCTGGTGTATATATAGAACAGAGGATGTAAATGGAAAATTGACACCACGTCTCGGCATTTTTTTTCCAACATAGAAAACTTACATCAACTGGTAATGTCTACCAAACAGTGCCAGTTAAACACAAGAAGCTGACCACAACTAGGATTGTTGGTAAGAGATGACACTGAAGTACCTAAGGAGGCCTGGGGGCACTGATGACAGCCCTGTGTCACTGCCTGCTCCCTGCTGCCAGCACACACAGTGTGTTCAGAGTGAGCCGGAGGAAACACCTGAACCCAGTGCTGTTGTTGCTCCTGCTGCCTCCTTCTCCAGTAGCCTCATTACCTGGGCTTAAACTTGACAACTAATTGACTTTCCATCTCAGATGGTGTTTTGGGCCTTAAGTCCCCTTGCTGAGAGTTGCTTGTGCCCATTACTTCTTATTCCACTTTTGGGAATGTGTTATCTTTTGAGCACCTTCCTGCTTTCTCAGTACAAGAAGTTCTCAAGATACAAGTCACCATACAATGGTTTCCCTGCTCCATTACCCTGGTCAGATGCTAGTCCTGGTCACTTTACTGAGAAATTAATGTTTGTTTGTCGTAGTAGTGCTGAGAATTTGTCAATCTTTGTCAGTTTTGTCAAGAATTTGTCAAGTTTGTCATCTCCTGTCAATTTGGTATCTGTCGATCACAGATGGGGGTTTCCATGTGATCTTACATATATTCAGACCTTTTCTCAGCTTTGTTTACAAGCTTTGTTTATAAGCTGCAGGTCAGAAGTGTCTTTTTAAAAGGCAGCTGCAAATGTAAGACACTTTTGCAGGTCTTTATTATGAGTTTCTCATTTGTTGAGTATTCGATTGCCTTTTTCTTCCCCAAGACTTCATCACCGTATCGTCTCTTCTCCATTTCTTCCCCGTTAGCCACACATACTAATGAGCCAGAGAATGGATTCCGTACTCTTCTCCTTCCCCTTCCAGAACGGACTGCTACCACATTTATAGCTAGGCACATTGTCTTGAACAACATCTCCGTGTTCCTGATACAGAGGCTTCCTGATACAGAGCTGAAGAATCTGTACAACCCTCACAAATACCACACTTCAATTGAGGCCCAATTTTATTTTATTATGATGTGCTTAATAAATGTTATGTGCATATAGTTTCTATACATCATACAAATATTTACAAAAATCCAAAACTTCAGTGAGTAGACTTACAATCGAAATTGAATTAAATTGAAAATTTAACTTCATTATGTTTAAAATAGTCTCCCTGTATATCTCCCTTTTTTTTGTTGTTCCTGAAATACACAATGAGACAGCATCATGCCAAAAATGTTTTCTCCGTTACTCTGGATCATATCCTTTAAGTCCTACATAAAT